GGGGGGGGGGGGGGGGGAGGGGTTTCACGTTTGGCAATGCAATTACGGCCGGTGCAGCTATTGCGTTCTTGCTGAAAGCCGACCATCTTTTCACTGTAATATCATATCGGCGGTATCGCCGAAATCGCTTTAGCGAACAGAAAGCGACAGAAATCGAAACTGCTCTCCCCTCTCGCTTTTGCCCAAGAATCGCAATGCGCTTTCGCGTGAAAGTGGGAACTGTCCATATTGCAAACTGGGACTTCTTTTTATCTGCATCTTTTTATCTTGCGTAAACTGATTTTGATCTCCATGGTAATTATACTAATTACCGTAACCGTAGTTGCTTGTTTCGATAGATAAAATGGATAGGTCTGTTCACTTTATATCTATTTCTATCAATATGAATTAACTTTAATCTCGATTTTTTTTTTATTTACTTTTTATCTTTTTCTAGTTCTTAAAATTAGAAAAACATAAAAGATAAGTTGAAGTCAATCTACATTGATAAAAACGAGCATTAGCTGAACTTCTTGCTGACAGTTTATCTTTTCTCTTTTTCTCTCCACGTGGAGAGAAAAAAAGAGGAAAGACAGATTCTACAAAAAGCTAGAAAAATATAGGCCTAGATTGTAATTTATGAGATTCTCGACGCAGCTGAAGTATAATACCCTGCACACGATGGAGGAATAATTAGGAATAGAAGTAAATATTAAGATTTCAACCAGAAACCGTGTATTTCGATTTAACTAATTTCTGATAGATTTCTCTGATTTGAAGAAGTCTTAATATTTCTGTTCCTAATTCCTTCTTCCATTGTGCGCAGCACAAGTCTCCAAATATTTGCGTGGAATTAACTAAGCTCACTGCGGATGTAATTACACCGGATGTACGACGGCGGCACGTAGTCGCAATAAACTTAATTGCGAGCCAATTCAAGTACCATTGCCGTTGACTTATTGTTCGCGCATCACACAGACGTGGCTGTTAATTATTTCCTACACTGCGGGTTACGCGAGGACAAACGACAGACGCGTGTTTATCATGTCTATCGATGTAATCTTCTCATAGACATAATATAGATAGTCGGAGGCATTGCCTCCTCTCTATTCTATGCCTACATTACTTCTTTTCTTTATTCTCCTTCTCTCTATTCTTTCTATTCTATGAATCTTCCATTCTCCATGCAATCCTCGAAGGGAGGAAATGAAGAAGAGAAAGAAAAAGCAGAAGGAAATCACGATGAGGATGACGCGCGTTGATCGCACCGCGAATACAGATAAGTGCTCGGCGGCCAGGTCGATAGACGCAGGAAATGCCTGTGAAAGATGATGAACGCCGATTACCTCATCAAGATCATCAGAGGTGTAATAATAGTACTACACTTACAAAGAAGTGTCGCGCGTTCCAACGTCAATGATTGTAGCCTTCTACTCTTCTCTCTCTCTCTCTCTCTCTCTCTCTCTCTCTCTCTCTCTCTTTCTCTCTCTCTTTCTCTCTTTCTCTCTTTCTCTCTTTCTCTTAGCCTTTCAGCTATCGCAGCCTTTTCTGATTGCGACGTGTTGAAAGAGCGGCGTCCGCTCGTCTAATTTGAAGCCGAGAAACTCCCGTTTAATTCATAGTTGTAAGATTCTTACTCATATAAGCGCAAAAGTCACGAATTTTGTTCCTCTTAGATTGAAGCTCGCGTGAATCTGCTTCATCGTGATGTGAGGAAGATTTTCGGGGATTCGCGGGGTTGATTCTAAACAGAGAGATTCCGTGCACGTTTGACGTTCCATCGATTGCGAGATTTGCCAGAGAAGATGGTTGCCGGTTGGCGACCTCGAGTCAACGTCGCGGCGCAGGTAATTCGCAGATTGACAGATTAAGCCGGCTAATTACGGGGCGGGAAGGAGCGTGCGGGGGAACACGAAATTACGCAAACGTGCTCCTTGAGAAATCTACAAATTATGTGTATAACGACGACGGAGCGTGGCACGCGAGCGACGTGCGTTTCCTCGCTTTGACCTCTTAATTTCTCTTTATTAACCCTTTAGCCGCGACGCACATCCAGCGAGAATTGCAATACTTGTAATGAAATTTCGAGTTTTTGATAGTAAACCTATTGTGCAATGCCTTTCTACCTCGTTTGCCAGTAATTTGAAATAAAAAGATATTCTACGTGCAATGTGTGTACGAATGTCGCAAGAGAGAATTGATATAAACTACATAAGATATTTCACGTTATACGTTAGATATGTTTGAATGTATTGGAAATTAATAGGTATCGTAAGGAATATAATATAAATTTTCATGACCAATGATATGGACCTGCTATTCTGTTCAGGTTTAGTTGATCCAATATGTAATTTATTTTCTCGATTAGTGTTTTATTTAAAAACTTTTTTTTTCCCTAGTATTTTATGTTTAGACTTTGTTTGTTAATGTAAGATTTTTTTTCTGCGAAAAGTTTTTACTTTTTAGAATTTTTTAATCAAGTGTAACCTAAACGACGATGATAAGTATAATAAATTTGAACAGATCAGCATTGACACCTAATGCGTAATGTTAAATTTATGATGTAAGAAGATCTTTTTTACATGATGATTAAATTCATGTCATCTATGTCAAAATCACATCCACGTTTTTTAGTCGTGCAGTTCAAGACGACGGTTTAATGGAATGGATATAATATATAGATTTTTCTAGCGAAGAGAAGGGCATTTGTCGAAGCGTCGTTCGCTATTTCGAAAATCCGCATTCGCCGCGCCCCGACTAATTGAACGAACGGATACAAGCGCGGACGGCGAACAATAGCATTATCGCGCGCGCTCCACTTTCAAAACTATCCCTGTCGCCGCGTCGCCGTCGTCGTAGTCACCGCGAGTCCTACGCGTGTTGCGAAAGAAATACTTATAGCTGCGAGAAAAATCTCCCGTGCACAAACATGAGGCTAATAATCGTGCCAAGTCCAACCAACCGCGTCGTCTGTCGACCGCACATGTCACTGCGACTTGAGATTTTATCGAGTGGTCTCGATTATCGGTGCTCACCGGTCTAATCTATAATGTAACTCGTTTTGGAGCTAAACTGCGCAGAGAGGCGGCTTCATATGGGATTTACAAAATAATAAATCGATGACGTGTCAGGAATGAAAAAGAGTTCCACTTAACGTTTACGTGATCGATTATGTCGGATGGGGGTTACTCGCGGATTCGCGCGATGCTAGTATCCAAAGATCGTTCGACGAAGGAACCTGTCGTGCTTTGATCGATCGATTAAAATATCGAGTCATGTAATCCGTGATGGTCAACAGGCTCATGGGGGTTCCTGATCGAAAGGATCGTCTCTTCGCCGCGGAGGCGCGCGAGTTTCTTCGGTCGAGATGTAGCAGAACTCTGCGAAAGAGAAATGGAACTGTGTACTCACGTAGGTTTTTTTTTCTCTCCTCCGTGGAACGTGGAAGAACTCTTGCCAGTCGAGTCGACGTTGGGCACAGCGGGACGATCTCTTCTCGGCTTGTCTTGCTCCTTGTCTCGCGGATCGGCTCTCACCGGTTCGCGCGAACTTCGCGATCGATCGGAGAACGAAAGAAAGAACGCGTGGGAGGTTCTTGTCCCTGTCTCTCCTTCTCTTGTCTTCCCTCTCTTTTTTTTTCTCACGCGCGTGCGATTACGCTCGTTTGCAAAGGACCGTTGGTGATCGGGATGAAGGTTGGGTCGTGTGTCGAGATGGAATCGCCGGGGCCCCGCTTATATACCCATTTACCCACCCGTGCTGACGGCCAGGATCGTGCAAGGGGGCCCCGATCCTCCTCGCCGATCGAGCTACCGGGAGGGGCCCCTCTTTTAGTCTTCTCTTCGCCCTTCTTGGACTCTCTCTACCTACCTTATCTCCCTCCTTGTCCTACACCTCCTCTCTTTTTCTCTTCCTCCTACACCGCTTCTCGCATTTCTGCCTCTCTCTCTCTCTCTCTCTCTCTCTCTCTCGCTCGCTCGCTCGTTTCTGCCTGTTCTTGACTTGCTCGCCGATTTCTTCGCTCCTTTCTGTTCCGGATCACGACTATGCCCGGCACTTCATGCCCGGTTCATCGAGATGATCTTCGCCAACGGATTCATAACGTGGCTCGTGTTGTGCTGACCCAATGGGATCACGCCTTGAGCGAGCTTAACCCTGCCAACGTTGTACTGTACGTACAGCGGGAATTTCATAATAGATGGCCGACTAAGACTTCCTATTATTACTTCGCAGTCATTTGTACGTTATCCCAATTTATATAGAGTTAATTAATTCGCGTGATGTGCTTGATTATCTACAACGACGCAGTTAGAGGGTTAAATTATTTATTGTATCGAATGGTGAAAATAATAGTGAAAATACATTAAAAATACATTATATTTTCCAAGAGGAGACGCCTGTAAGTGCCTTTTCTGGTCATAGTTAAAACTTATTATAGAATTAAATATTACACTGTTAGAAATGTTTTTAAATTTTATTATTTTTTTAAGTTACACAATTTGAACTTAATTTTGTGACATTACATTAAATTTAATGTATTTATAACTAAAAAATATATTTGTGTACAAGTACACATAAAATTTAATGTGTTTTTCATGAAAATTTATTAAAAGTACATCAAATCTCATAAATTTAATGTACACGTTTCTTACAGTAGTAATTGAGTAACTACTGCAACTTAATTTTCAGTTAAATCATTCATTACTTTTAATATTGTTTATAACCACGAGCTTCTCATTTACATGTAAAGGAAGCTCGTGGTTACATTTCTAACAGTGTAGTTGTAGAATTCTTAACAATAGTTAGAATAGCAATTATCATATCTTGTATCATTATTGACTGTAATGGAGGACCTTGAAATTTGCTGACACAGGGTTTTCTTATCAATTTCTTATGCACAACAATTAAAAAATATTCAATTTTCTATATATATATACAATTGTCCTTACTTGCTATTGGTTACTGTGGACGCACCTGTACATCTGGCATGACGTGTTGCGTTTGTCTTTTAAAAGCATTCATTTGGAATCATTCAATATCGGAGCGGAAGTGTAATGCCAAAGCTACATAGGCTGTATGGAGTAACCTTGAATGCATTTAAAAGGTTCAGTCAACATTTATCTTTCAATTCGATTAAAGAAGATTTAAAAAACCGCAAATAAAAGATTTTCATATTATTGTAGATTTTTAATCGAGAAAATTATCGAGAAGAATTGCACAGCTAAACATCTTTGTAAACATGCTATGCTCTTCTTAAAAATGCTATTACTTTTCTGTCAGTGTATCAGGTTTCATTTTTCGGTAAAATGAGAATTCTATTAAATAATCCAATCTGTTGCGTTTAATAACTTTTCCGACTACTAAATGTAGAATTATCGGCGATATAATAGGTTATTATGCCTCTTCTTCTTAACTTGGTTTGATAGATCTTTTTCGAGTAAAATTTGTGTCGGTTTTAACGTACGTATTTTTCTTTCATTTGCAGCGAAGCTCTCTCAATGAAAGTAAACGAATTTCGCACGTGCTCGACATGGCTAAATGACTGAAAGCGCACGATCAATGTCATTTTATTTTTAATCCTTAAAAAGGGAATTCTTTTAATTTCATATCGGAATTATTGAAACATAAGAATTATAAATTTTAAACAAAATATTTCTTGATATATAATTAATACACAAACTAAATCTTTTTAGGAATACAAAAAGAAAAAGAAGGAAACAAAAATTTTCTGCGTTTAGAATGTCCTATTTAATAATTAATTTGTTTGACCAAATATTATCGACTAAAGAAATAAATAAACATGACTTTTTCTCGTACTAGATGTTTACAAGTGCAAATTTTTATTGATTTGCATCGTGGATTTATTATGATTTGTGTCACGCCGGAAGGCTCGTGCATCATTTTATGCGTCGCGAATATGTTGCGAACTCGATAAACCATGCGCCACCAGGTAAATTGTTTTATCTTTGTCACTGTGATTCATCGAGGAACGCTCGATGAATCGTATACGCGTGTATACGCGTGTGATACACGCGTCAGTGCGTATGTATGGGCACTATTATGTAAACTGTTGTTTTACTTCTAGTTCCTTCTCGTATGCTTCCGACGCAACAGTTTGTCATTGAAAATTAATTTCTTGAAATGTGTTTTGCTAAAATATCGATTCAATCGATAGTTCACGAATTAGACTCGAATTACTTCGAACTCAGTTTCTATCAGAGATTATCACTATACTAAATTATTTACATTCTAATAAAATTGAGTAAATTTCGTGATAACAAATAAC